TCTGCACCTGGGATGCGAACATTTGCCTTAATCTTTGTCTTATTCAATAATTCCTATTGGACTTTTGATTCATGAGAATCGTATGTATTTAGGATTAAAGAATATTTTTTCCATACAAGATTCGAGAAATCCGAACTTAAGTGCTCTTCTTTGCTTTCTTTATCAAGCGTATCCGCCATTAGATATTACCACGGCTATTTCGAGTGCCTATAGTGGACGCATTTCGGTAAAGTTAAAGTTCAAAAAAAGGTCCCATGGAGAGCAACGCGAACAGGAACGTATAAAGAAACTTATTAATTCCAATAATGGTCCAGGTAGAGCTCCGAGTATGCACGCGAACAAGAAGGACAATAAAGGTCTTTATCCAATTGAGTAAGGTGTCTTTCATATTAACGTTAATTTCATTAACAGAGAAGACCTTAACTTCACTGGGAGTGTAGAAGACGCCTGGGGCAATCTATTGATGGCTATTACTAACAAAGACGCGATAGACTTCAATGACGTCTACTGCAGACGAAATGTGACATTCATTATTACACTACCGGATGTTAACCTGACCGCAAAAAAGCTGCACAAAATCAAACTACAAACATTTGATTGCTCAGAGGAAACCTTAATTATGGCCGCGAAAGGCCAAATAATGCGGAATCAGAAACTCTGCCGGTCCGAGGATGTTGCTGCCCGAGAAAAACTACAAGGTGAAGAGAACTACAAACACTTCCTTCGCCAGACTACCTGCACCATCATAAAACAGAATGTCACGTGGACACGTGGCGCAGAGTTTAATTTCTCGGTAGACGGTGAGGATGACACAATCTATCTGGTGCAGTGCACCCTCTTTGACTGCACTTGGAGCTTCAAAGTAATCAAAAAATTAACCCGTGAGTTACTACTCGTGCCGAATTTTACCTGAAAGTTTTCCCTAAGAATAACTTTATAGATTGCATATGACCGACATTTCTGTTCGAGACAGGAACTCTCTCACTCCCGTCAAATAGAGTCTTGCAAATTTGTCTTTATCGATTCCTTTAATCTGGCAGTAAAACCTCACGGATATAAATCTAAACCGACCTATCGTTCCATTGTGATACCGATGGATTGGATTTAAATAAGGCAAACAGAACAGTTAGCAAATTACTTAAATCAGCCAGTTTTAATTTAGTAGGCCACTGTGTGGCAAACCGCGCCGCAAGACCTTTCAGGCCTGACACCCAACAAATTAAAATTTTCAGAAATCTTAAAATTCTCGCAGCACAGCAGATCAAAACTGGTTGTGAATTTGACAGCCTGGAGCGCTGGATTCGTGCTCGCATGCTTGTTGTTGGTTTGCCGACACACCAGAGCACAGGTGAACTAAGGCGTCACGACTGGCGGCACGTCCTGAAGCAGACTTACCTGGTGAAGAGCTGCACCCTCTCCAACCAACATTATACAAAAGGTATCTAGTCATTACATCACGCGCGGTTGTGAAACAGATAAAACAAGTATTTATGCGCTTTTTGACACACAGATTTTTACTCAAGTAACGAATCAATTGCATCTACTTAGTCGATCAATATCATATTTGAAAATCGATTCAGATCTGTGCAACCACCACAACTAGCGCTGACCCAGCGGTAGCAGCAACAATGATCTGCACGATAATTCCTTCATACTGAAACAAAATATCACTGCATTAACTTCGCATTCTTCTCTCAAACCAACCATGCTCCCGATGAGGAAATTAATTGTGCTAATTAGCTAAAACATAAATTGGTCCAGCTCGGTTAAGGCGTCTGTTTGGGGAAATCAGTTGACAGCTTCTTTGCAGGTCGTGGGCAATTGATTGAGGAAATCTTTGAAATACTTTATTCAACTTGTCAGCATTTTATATTTGCCGAATAAGGGATTGCTCCAACTTCGGTAAGCTATGGTTTGGTCTCCTGAGATGTATGCAATTTCTGAAGTCCTATCTGATTTCAGCCCTGTACCATAGTGGACTACTAAACCTACCTGGTGTTCGCTTATCTTGACGAAAACCGCGATGTTGCAGCGCCAGCCTCATCTTGTTCCAAATACTGCTTATGACAAACCTGCATAATTTCATTGTTTCTCTGATAAAGAGTTTCAGGTATCAATACTGATTCTTTGCTCAACCGTTTCCCTACTTCTTTCCAAAGCCTCCCGACCTCGCTGTGGGGGACCGCCCCGCCCGGCTCGTGAAATACTACCCATCCCTAAGCCAGTTTTTATCCTTGGCGGTGTCTTAAGTGGCTGCTTTCTCTTCTTTACGGTAATTATCTTCCTCAAGTATACAAGACTACTGAGAAGGAGAGCCCGGAAGAAGTATATATCAGAGGCAAGTGTGGACCGTTGCAGTTCAGCAAAATATTTTATGGTCACAATTAGTGCAAATTCACTATTACCTTCTTTCCTTTTTCCTGCTTCTTGTCAACAGGAAGAATTAAAAGCTCTTATTAACAAGGCTGGGCACAACAGTTACGCCGACGACCCCCAAGTCCTTCTTGCATACACGGTCTTTTTAGAAGAGTATACGGAAGAGAAGCATGAGCGCCTAAAAAGATTTGTGTCTGCCTACTTAGAGGTTTGTCTTCAGTTTGCTGTAATTGAAGAAGCCTCCGCTTAGGTTATCAGCACTAATCTAATTGATGCCTTGTTGCATAGGGCTTTCCTTCCGCATTCTCAGACAGACGGTTTATTTTTTCAATATGCTCAGTACAGGTACTCGTATCGGCATTTGTAAGCAATCTGCCCCTTCATTTATAATCCGAACGCCCCGATCATTAACATGAGCGTGATAGAGCATGGGTCAGGGTTAAATTTCTACTGGAATCCAAATTCTGGCTTGCGATCTTAAACAAAATCCGACCTGTGAAGAGGGAAGGGTTGAGCAGACTGTCTTCTTGTGTATTATATATTTTATACTACCACACTTTATTCCCCCTCTTCCAAGTGGACTTCACAAGGTAAACTAGAAGCCACCTTACTGCTCCTGCCAGCATTGGGCATCATTTGTCGAATTATCCATACATAGAGTTATAAAATTAACGATTGCATTTTCTGAACT